CACCCCCCAGTCTGTCTGTCTGTCTGTCTGTCAGCTGCCAAATAGGGTAGCAGCAGTGATGACATAGGATCCAGAGAAGATGGTGAGCCACCTTGAGCTCCTTGTAGGGAAGTAGTGTGAACATACCTACTACTGTGGAGAACTTTTCTCTTAAGAGTTTGTAAGGAGGCGTATGTATTGCAGGTTTAGGAAAGTGTTTTATTCAATATACTGGCCAATAGAGAAACCTAAAAGACAGTCTACAATACCAAAGATAATGGGTAGCTATATAGGAAACACGCAAAGGGCCATAAAACAAGTAATCCAAATTGGTAATCCTTTGAACCATCTTTCCCAGGAAATTCCCTTTGATCGTTCCTTCAGAAAGGGGCCTAAGTACTTTTATTGTCTTTAACGTACCTTTGCTAAAAGATAGGGAACGAACAAGCTCTTATGTCTTTCAGTAAAAGGTGGTCTTCCCACATTTTGAGGATATTTCACTGGCTATCTTTATATAGTTACCAGATCCTAATATATGTGGCTATATTTCAAAGCTGCAATGAGGTAGCTCCACACTACCACCCCCTCTGGTTTACATCTTATGTAGGTATCCTTCAGTCTCAAGAGATTATGGTAATGTGCTCTGAATAGAGGTCTTGGAACAACATCTAGTGTGGCTGAGAAGGCCAATTCAAGAGTGACAATCCCTTCCACATTGAAGACAAATACAATCTGTCCCCTGTCCAGCTCCCTGATTTTGCCTCGGCCTGCTGAAACAGTGTCTCTTCAAATTGAAAGAGGCCATGCTGCACCACCTGCCTGAACGCTCAGATGTCAAAGTTTTCCATCTGCTGAGGTCCATTCCTAAGGCCTTCAGATTCTGCTTGCAGATATCCTTGTATCGCAGCTGTGGTCTCCTTCTGGGGCGATTTCCCTGCACTAATTCTCCATACAGGAGATCTTTTGGAATCTGACTGTCAGCCATTCTCACGACATGTCAGAGCCAATGTAGACATCACTGTTTCAGTAATGTATACATGCTAAAAATTCCAGCTCGTTCTAGGACTACTTTATTTGGAACTTTGTCTTGCCAGGTGATACCAAAAATGAGTCAGAGACAACACGTATGGAACATGTTCAGTTTCCTCTCCTGCCATGTACAAAGGGTCCAGGACTCACTGCAGTACAGGAGTGTGCTCAGGACACAGGCTCTATAGACCTGGATCTTGGTATATGCCGTCAGCTTCTTATTAAGCCATACTGTCTTGGTTAGTCTAGAGAACATGGTAGCTGCTTTGCCAGTGCGTTTATCCAGCTCAACGTCTAGCCGGAGAGTGTCAGAGATCATTGAGCCAGGGTACAAAAAGTCATGAACAACCTCCAATTCTTGCATGGAGATGGTAATAGAGGGAGGTGAGTCCACGCCCTGGCCCGTGACTTGCGTTTTCTTCAGGCTGATCATTAATGCAAAGTCTTGGCAGGCTTTACTAAAACGATTCATAAATATAAACTCACTAAGTGGTGTTCAGCAAGTTACCACTGTTTAATCCGCATGAGTAATACTGAGCTGCCTTCAGATTTTTTCCTAGATGGAAGATATATATACAATGCTAAACATTATCAAATCTGTATCCAGATATAAGCTAGGTTTCCAGTGCTAGGTGCAAGAGAGAGCGCAATGATACAATATCTATAGCCATACATAGCTGAATTTCCAGTACTTAGTTGCAACCTGCAATAATTATAACTTTGACCAGTTAACTTCAATTTTTTTCTCCCTTGCTTATGTAGGAACTAGAGGAATTGCTGTCACAAACCAAGGATGTCTCGATTGTGCTGGGGATTGACAACAGCAGATACAACCCGGACCTGCACAAGATAGTAGAGGATGTAAGAGCTCAGTATGAAGACCTGGCTATCCGGAGCTGGGAAGAGTTAGAGGCTCTCACCCGAAGCAAGGTAGAGATTGTCCCCTAAATCCTTGCAGCCAGGTGCCAATCGTAGTAGAAAGACAGAAATGGAGAAGGGCTTAAAATGTCACAGTGGCTTAAAGAGAGAATATGGAAAGGATGGTCCACAGCTTAGAAAAATGCACTAGGAAATGACCAGTTCTGTATCTTCCCAGCTAATACATGAAGCAGAACTAGGAATCAGATCGTATGATACAGATCTTGTATATGATTTGAATATATATCTGAATGATGACTCAACCTGTTCTGAAAGGTTTTGGGATAATAGGCAGAACTCAGGCTGCGTTGCATCATGAGGCAAATATGAGTTGACTAGGTCAAAAGCGTACAAACAAACCTACCGAAACGATCAGCTTGCTTTAAAAAACAGCTCCATATTTTTACAACAGTAATATAGTCTTGGGATAATAGGCAGAACTCAGGCCGCGTTGCATCATGAGGCAAATATGAGCTGACTAGGTCAAAATCATACAAACAAACCTACCGAAACAATCAGCTTGTGTTCTCTTTGCTTTAAAAAACAGCTCCATATTTTTACAACAGTAATATATTCTGTTGCTGAGATCTAACGTTGGGTGTTTGGTTCTCTAGAACAGTGGTCCCCAACCTTGGGCCTCCAGATGTCCTTGGACTACCACTCCCAGAAACCTTCACCACCACCTTGGCTGGCCAGGATTTCTGGGAGTTGAAGTCCAAGAACTTCTGGATATTCTGTTGCTGAGATCTAACGTTGAGTGTTTGGTCCTCTAGAACATGGAAGAGACACAGGAAGGATGAGGAAACAGTAGCTACTTGGTTCTGTTGTATAGCAGGCCACACCCAGCTAAAAGGATAAAGACAGGAGAGGTAATGATAACACACACATTTAAGTCAGAGAAGGACACCCTGGTTAGGTTGATGACTAGTTATCCCAAACGAATCATAGAGGTGGGTGTTCATCTCTCAGCAATGGCAAGAAAATACAGTGGTGCCTCGCCCAGCTAAAAGGATAAAGACAGGAGAGGTAATGATAACACACACATTTAAGTCAGAGAAGGACACCCTGGTTAGGTTGATGACGAATCATAGAGGTGGGTGTTCATCTCTCATCAATGGCAAGAAAATAGTAGATCTGTGGAATCTAGCATGAAGAAAAATACCCAGATCAAACATTCTTAAGCCGAGAGAAGAAGGAAAAAAAATTGGAGAAGAAAATAGGAGTGATTGATGGAAAGAGGATGTACAAGTAGGAGACAGATTAACATTCAGGGGGGAAAATTGAAGATGCCATCTTGGTCACAAACTTAATTCTATATGGTCTTTCTATGAAGCCCTAGGACATAAGATTTTGTATCTGTGTGTACAGTTTCCAGTTGCAGTTTTTCTCTGCGATGTTTTCTTGGGCCAGCATTCCTCGGTAGTATTTTATCTTTTCTAACAGGACTGTTATACTCTTTTAATTCTTACCTCCAGCTGAATGAAAGAGAAGTGCTGTCTGTTAAGTATGGTGATCATCTCCTTCATGACCGCAGGGTGATTGCTGAATTAAACATACAGATTCAGAAAATGAGGTCTTGCATCGTTTCTTTGAAAAGCCAGGTAAGATATGGCTGGTGGCAGGCTAGAAACAAATAGATATAATAGAATTGTGGAGTTTTAAGGTGCCCAAGGTGACCAGATCTCATCCCTGTGGATGCAGGTGATCTAGAGCCAAAGCATTCCTGACTGGTAGCCAACCCAACCTCTGCTAGAAAAACCTCCAATCAAGGAAAATCAGCCATCCCTCGGGCAATCCATTCCACTCTTGATTGGCTCTTAACATCAAGAGGTTCTTCCCAATGTTTTGCCAAAGCCTTCTTTCTTCTGGTTTGATATAAAAAAATTAAAGAAGGCTGTAAAATCAAGATTTCTTATAGATCCTCGACAGCTTTTTTCCCCCACAGATGAAAGTGCACACCTTTTATGATTTTCAGAACATGATGGAGCTTTTTTAGGGACTGGTCCTAGTGTCCGACCAGATGCATGCATGTCTCATAGAATTTTTACATTAGACCAGGCGCAGAAATCAGTTGTATGGGGCCACACACATTTAAGTCAGAGAAGGACACCCTGGTTAGGTTCAGTTGGACTAGTTGCCCAAACGAATCATAGAGGTGGGTGTTCATCTCTCAGCAATGGCAAGAAAATAGTAGATCCTAGCTTCTGTTTCAGTGGAGGCAGTGGTGGAGCAAGAGGAGGCAGCAGGACAAGATAAGCAGCAGTGGGAAAAGAGTGGGGATAGGCTGTGGGGGCAGGGAACTCAATTTTTTTTACATAGCCGTATGGGCTATATTTTAAAAAAACCCTAATGAACCAACAAATTGATTTGTGGTTCATCGTGCCACGGCAGGGGGGAGTTGTGGATCATCAAGGTTGACACAACCCATGAACCAAGACGAACCGCCATTTTGGCAGTTCATCCCCATTTCTAGTTTATGCATCTAGCTTTTTTATTTGAAGGCGGTATGGAAGGCAACAAGAAACAATGGAGGATAGGCGGTTACTGAACTATGGTGTCACTTATTTTCCTTGTTGTCATCTGTCCACACAAGTGTTTGCGTCTGGAGGATAACATCAAAGAAGTTGGAGAGAAAGGGGAAGCTGCCCTCCACGATGCCAAAGCAAAACTGGCTAAATTGGAGGAAGCCCTTCACAACGCAAAGAAAGACTTGGCCCAGTTGGTTAAGGAGTATCAAGAACTGATGAACATCAAGCTGGCCTTAGATATAGAGATTCTCACTTATAGGAAGCTCATGGAAGGTGAAGAAATCAGGTAAGGTAACTGGTTTGGACTCTCTTCCTATGTGAACTTAAGAATAGGCAAAACTTAAAAAGTTTGCTCCTACTGAGGAATCTAAAAGGTGAATTTGATAGTTAGCAGCAGTTTGCAGCTGCGAGCGTTTGCCATTGCCCTCCACCAGTGTAACTAAGCAAAGAATTTTGGCCATAGTTTGAAAATGGGCACCAAAATTATACACTCAATAGATGTAAAAAAATGTTTGCAAAAACAAAAAAAGGACCCATTCAAAATTGCAACAGAACAATTTGAAATAGGACATTTCAATAGAATTTTCATACGTACATAATAGCGCTGTTCTGATAGACAATAAATTCTATGCATTCTCATTTTTTCCAGCCTAGAAATGGCCCATTTTTTCCAGCCTAGAAATGGCAGAAAACAACGACTTTTTGCAAACATAAACTAAGTGCCTACTTGGGCACATCTGGTTTCAGTGTTTTGAGGTTTTGAAGGGGAAGAGGCCTTTGGGAAGTTCCCAACCTCCATAACATGAAAATAGCTACTCCTAGAGGAGTCTAGGAGGACTCTAGGAATGGAAGAAGACACTGCTATGTGTGTTATGTGTTTCAGAGGAGGCTCTGGAATAGCCAGAGAGGGAGCACAGATAAGCCCCTGGGGGTTGCATGAATCTCTGGCCACTAAGGAACACCAGCTTGATGTTCATAACCCTGGTCATTCTGTTTTCTTTTTCCCCCTCACAGCATGGAGTCCCCACCACCTGCTGTCATTAGCAGAATTTACTCTTCTACCCCCAAATTCGGTAAGTGTATTCTTAATAGTTTGATGATTTCTCCAAAATGGTCATCATTTTAAAGGACATCCTGATGTTAATCATGTTCCACTTAGTTTCCAAACGCTGAAAATGTGAATGAATGGAGAAGGCAGGAGCAAAAAGGGCTTGGCAAAAATGAGGACCTGTTCAGAGTGTCTGTTTGGAGTGTGGGGTGATTTGGACTATAATGGGTCTGTTGAGGTCAGCAGGAGGAGTGATGTGTCCTTTGGTGTGCTTCTTCCATCTGAACAGCAAATGGCCCCTTGTAGCCCAATCAGCAAATGGCCCCTTGTAGCCCAATCAGCTGTCAATTAGGTGCTTCCCCTGGTCCTCTATGGAGGATCAGGGGAAGTGAAATTATTTTTTTTACATTGCTTCTCTCTCTGTCACTGCCATTCCGTTTTCTTCCTTCCCAGCTCCCTGCTTCCCTTCCCTCATTCTCCCCCCCCCTTTCTCTCTCCTCCATCAGAATTTGCAGCCACAATGGCAGAGGCTGCTAGAGGCTAGTGTCTCCAAAGTAATCAAAGAGTGTGCCAAAAAGAATGCATGCCTTACTACTGGTCGAGAAAGGAGTGACAGCTCCTAAAGGGGAAGGATGGATCATTCTGTGTAGAAACACTTGTGGACAGGTTTATTTTTCCCAATCCAGACTGTGCCACCAGCGATCCATATAATACATCTATATATCATATATAGCATATCATGGAAAAACATCCTGTTAGAGTAGTAGAGCAGTGGAACCAATTACCTCGAGAGGTGCTCAGTGCTCCAACACTGGAGGCATTCAAGAGAAATTTATATCAGTGGTTCTTAACCTTGGGTTATTCAGGTGTTTTTGGACTGCAACTCCCAGAAGCCTTCACCATCAGCTGTGCTGGCTGGGGTTTCTGGGAGTTGCAGTTCAAAAACACCTGAGTAACCAAAGGTTAAGAACCACTGATTTAGATAACCATCTGTCAATTATCCTTTGATTTGTATTCCTGAATTGAGCAGGAGGTTGGATTTTAAGGCCTTATATGCCTCTTCCAACTTCATGATTCTATGCCAATGTGGACTAGCACTAATAGGGCAAAAGTGGAAAACACTATTTGGAATCAATTACTCACATGGAATGCCCTTCAAAAGAAAGAACACTAAGTAGAAAGGCATAGATGCTGAATGCAAGATACAAATCTCTCAAAAATACAACCAGACTGTTTTTATCTTTGCAGCTTCATCAAACTCTAGCATCCCAACAACTTCGAATATGACAACCAGAGCACAAGAAAATTCAACAGATGAAATGAGCCACAGTGGAAGCCGTGTGCAAAGTGGACTTTCCAGAAATCAGAGCGGAGGCAGCATGGGGGAAACAGGGGGGGACCTCTCTCGAAGCCACAGTACTAGAAGTGCAGCCACTGCAGGTGGTAGCTTTTCTAGAAGCCCCAGTAGCGTAAGTGGAGGTGCCTCAGAGGCATTTAGAAGTCATAGCACCACCCACAGTGCACCCTTGGACAGCAGTCGTTCTAGAAGCACTAGTAGTAAAAATGGAAATTTTGCCAATAGTGAAGAGACTATGGACAGCAGTGTTTCTAGAAGTCTCGATCATGGAAGTGGAAGTCAAAGAATCCATGGCAGCAGAAGTGAGGATAACCCAAAAGGTAGCATTTCTAGAAGCCATAGTGGTGGAATCAGAGGCATCTCAGATGGTAGCCTTTCTAGAAGCCAGAGTAACAGAAGTGATGGTTTGACTGACAGTGTATTTGTTAGAACCCAAAGTGGTGTAAGTGATAGTGTGCAAGAGGGCAACTATTCTAGAAGCCAAAGCCATAGAAGCGTAGGGTGTTCCTCACCTTCCATTTCCAGAACCCAAAGCAGAGAAAGTAACCGTGCCCCTGTAACTAGCTATCCTAGAGGTCACCATTCAGGAAGTGGACACAATGTTCAAGGCAGCCATGGCTATGGAGGAAATGATGGCAGCTATTCTAGAAGCCAAAGTGGCAGAAGCCAAGTTTCAACAGATGGTGGCTTTGCTAGAATTCACAGCCATGAAAGTGAAGGTGCCCCAGAGAGTAGCCTTTATGGAAGCTACAGTGGCAGCAGTGCATCCTATGTAGAAGGTGGCCTTTCTAGAAGCCAGAGTGATGAAAATCAATTTCATAGCAGTGCTGAGCCTGTTGTTTCCAGAAGCCGTAGTGCTGAAGATGGCGGGGTCCCAGTGGGTGGCATTTCTAGAAGCCAGAGTGATGAAAATCAATTTCATAGCAGTGCTGAGCCTGTTGTTTCCAGAAGCCGTAGTGCTGAAGATGGTGGGGTCCTGGTAGGCGGCATTTCTAGAAGCCACAGTGAGGCAAGCAGGGTCATGTCAGAGGATGACCTTTCTAGAAGCCAGACCAATGAAAGTGAACTTCAAGGCAACCACGGCCATGAAGGATACATTGAGCCTGTTTCTAGAAGCCGTAGTGCTGAAGATGGTGGGGTCCTGGTAGGCGGCATTTCTAGAAGCCACAGTGGGATAAGCAGAGAAGTGTCAGGAACCAGTCTTTCTAGAAGTCAAAGTGGTGAGAGTGAACTTCATCACAGCTTTGGCAATGAAGGATATTCTGAACCTGTTGTTTCCAGAACCAGCACTGCTGAAGATGATGGTGCCTCAGTCAGTGGCATTTCTAGAAGTCAGAGTGAGGCAAGCCAAGATATCTCAGGGGGCAGCCTTTCTAGAAGCCAGAGTGATGAAAATGAATTTCCTGGCACAGACAGAAATGCTGAGCCCCTTGTTTCCAGAACCAGCAGTACTGAAGAGGCCAACATCTCAGTAGGTAGTGTATCTCGAAGCAGCAGCAGGGCAAGCAGAAACCACTCCCAGGCTAGCTTTTCTGGAAGCCAAACTCGAGGCTTTGCAGACTCTGTTTTCACGAGAGCCCACACTGAAGGGGTCTCACAGTCCGGTCTTTCCAGACTCAGCAGTGGGTCAGGTAGCAGTGGTCCTGACAGCAACCAGCCTAGACGTCAAAGCAGTGGAAGCAAAGGCACCTTAGAGAGTACTTTTACCAGAAGCCAAAGCAAGAAAATCAGAGATTTAACAGAAAGTCTTTTTGGTAGAACTCACAGCAGTACAAGTGAAGGTGGCCTGTCTAGAGGACAGAGTGATGAAAATGAAGGCTTCGTAGAAGCTGCCCCTTCTAGAAGTCACAGTCATGGAAGTGGAGGGTTTGCAGAACCATCGTTTTCCAGAACCCATAGTGGTGATAGCACAGGCAACACAGAGAGCATTGTTTCTAGAAGTCACAGTGGTGGAACCAGAGGGATTCCTGAAGGGAGTTTTTCCAGAAGCCAAAGCAGCAGAAGTAGAGGATTTGTAGAGAGCAACCTATCAACGGGTCACAGCAATAACAGCGTAGAAAGTGATGGTGATACAAGAGTAAGTCTTGCAAGTCACAGTGAGGCCATCAAAGTGGCCTTGGAGTCTGGCCCTTCTAGAAGCAGAGATGCCGCCACAGATAGCTTTTCTAGACGCCACAGTGATGGGAGTGGAGGTCCTGTGGAGACATCTACTCCTATTTGCCCCCGCAGAAGAATGGAAGACCGTGGGGAACAAAGCCTTTCCAGAAGCCAGAGTGGGGAGAGTGGGAGCTTTAAAGCAGCTGACTTCTATAGAAGCTCCAGTGAAATAAGCAGAGGTGGCTCGGAGGCTAGTCTTTCTAGATGTAGCAGCAAAGAAAATGAACATTTCCCAGAAGGCATCCTTTTGCGAAACTACAGCTACAGATGTGCAGTCATATCACCCCCTCAGGTTTCGAGAACGGAAAGTGATTCTGAAGACTTTCTGGAAGATGACCTGTCTAGAAGTGGCACCTCTGGAATTTACAGAAGCCAGAGTGGTGACAGGGAAAATGTGTCAGAAGGGGGTGCCTCTAGAAGCTACAGCGACAGGAGTGAAGAAGCCCCAGTGGATTGCCTCAGTCACACTGGTGGGGAGGAAGCTTTTCCCAAGGGTGGTCTTAAGGAGCAGGAAAATACCTCCCATTCCCACGATGGTGCAAAAGAAAATGTTTGGCAGAGAGGTGAAAGTGGAGGCTTTGTGGGGAGGAACCTTTCCAGAGGCCAGAGCAGTGAACTGGTGGCTTCAAGTCCTGTCTGCTTGGTCTGTGAGGTTCCATCTGATGAACACCACCACTCCCCAGTTGGTGAAGTAGGCCACTCTGCTGAGTCCAGTATCACGGAGTAGGCGTACAAATGAATTGGATCCAGGTGTCTTCTTCTAGAAGTCCCAATCCATCCCTTGGCTCAGGGACCATAGATGGGAATCCACACGAAGCCTCACAGTCCTCAAGCTGATAGCTGGAAATACAATTCTGTGGGCTTGGAGGGGACAACACAGACTTCCTAGGATGTTATGCTTTGTGGGGTCAAGGTCAGAGAATATCTTGAGTCCTTCCAATAATATACTCTGTGGTGAGGGAAACTAATATTGCAGTTTTACAATACAGGCATTAACTACAAGAAACCATAAGCTAATGGCATAGTCTTTTAAGCAGTATTATAAACAGGATCTTGCCATTCTCCTCTTTCTTTTATTTATATTAATTATCTAGACTTTTAATTTGCAGATAGTTCTGGGTGTGCAGATCACATTAGACAAATGGTGTGATGCTCTGCCAAGGATGTTATTAGTGGGATTCATTTAATGGGAACCTTTTGCCCCTGATCTTCTGTCTTGCTTTTAAGGACACCATTTTGAATTTATCTGCCAAATTCTTATAGGTGTAGGTTTCTTAATGACTTTCACTAAAGAGTTTGTACAGTTTCTGTGTACACCAGCAAACTTAGATCTATTTCTGAGTCCTATCGTCTATTTTACAAGCTAGTTTTTTGGTTGGACTGAATTTTGCTATGATAAATATGTGTGGGTTTTTTTAAAAAAAGCATTAGGGCTGGTTGGCCACAAGATGACTTGAGATATATGTTTCTGAAGCCCATTATTTTTTTACAGGTATGATATTTTACACCTGTGCATACAAATAAGCACACATCAAAACACAGAACTATCTGGATTAGCCAATTCAGGACCGTCCCAATCCTAGAATTTAGTTCTGTGCTAGATGTGTCAGGTCACTTGTTATCTTAGGACACTGAATGGCCATTGGAGGTCTGGAATGTAGCAGGAAGAACATCTTGTTCTGCTGAACCATCTAGTGCAGAAGGCACAGAGTGGCCAATATTGCCTGCCAGCTACGGGGCCAAGTCCACATGCCTTTCTTCCTTTGTGTGCCTAAGAAACCCTACCAGATCACAGTTTATATGCCCTCCAGTTTCAACACATTAGCTGGCCGGATAGCTCAGTGGTTGAGGTATTTGGTTGTGGAGCCAGAAGTTGGGATTCAATACCCCAGCGTGCCTCCTTCTAGTAGATCCAGCCTGTGTGGCCTTGGGCAAGCTTCACAGTCTCAGGATATCCCCAGGATATTCTAAGACTTCTCTACTTGGAAAACCCTGGAAAGTTCAGAATTAACTTGGCAGCACATGATGGTGATGATAATGATTCAAGAGAATGCTTCTCAATGTTCCAGCCCTGTTGTTTCTAACAGAAACTTGCTTACAGACATAACACTATTTAAAAGCCCATGATTGCTTTTCAGTGGTCTGGTGTCTGCAACCTATTCTTCTCTTACCTCCAGTGATGACTGATGATGACCCACTGGGATATGGGATTGGACTGGGATAAAGAATGCTATGTGGGCTGGAAGAGGAGGAAAGAAACAGAAGAGCACATTTTAATCTTCATTGAAATTCAGATCAAACAGCCTACCCAAATTTACAGCCATTGTAAGTTCTTGCTAGCATACTTTAGTTCAAAATAATGCAATAGCTGGTGGATGTATAGTTTTACATGTCTATATAGGATAGATAGATGTTGTATGTCTTTTCATTCTATCAGACAGCAACTGTAGATATAAAGCTTATTTTTCATGGACTTTGTAGTCCACTATTACTGATTTAAAGCTGGGATCTAAAACTGGGAATCTCAGCTCAACTCTGGGTTGACCAATTGGGTGGACTGGAAGAAGTCACTTTCATAGGGTTCCATTGTGACCCTGAATGAAACGAAGAAAGCAAAACTTATGTTGCCATAAGTTCTTTAATGGTCAACCCTACTAAAATTAAAGAGACAAGCTAGTCACCATTGATGTAAGCTGCTTTGATTTCAGCAGCATTGCTTCTGGTTTGGCCACTGGCAATTTCTTCATCCATTAATCACAGGTGATCCCAGCTAGTCAGGATCTGGGTAACAAAGAGACTGCTGCCATAGCACTGTGTGCACAGATTTAGCTATATGGCTTGTGGTGGTGAAGGTGTTGGTGGCTCTGGTGATGATGATGATGATATATGCTAATGGAGATAATTGAGAGTGAAGTAGAGGAGGTTGGTGGCTCTGGTGATGATGATGATATAGGCAAATGGAGATAATTGAGAGTGAAGTAGAGGAAGACTGCAAATTAGATGGACAAATGAGTTTATAAGATCAGCAGGATTGGCATGGATCAGAATAGCACAAAACGCTTCTACCTGCTTCCCTGGCTTTCTGTGTTGTTGTTTTAAGAAACACGGTCATGTTCACAGAATTCTCTACATTGTTCAGGAGATAAGGAAGTCCAGTACAAGCTCTCCCAAATGTCCCCTCAGCTTGTGGATAAGACTAGATAGCATGTTGGAAATGAAATGAGCTAAAGCTGTATTTACATGGCAGAATACAGTGGATTTACTCCTCAGTAAACTCACACAGCATTGCACTACAAATACATGTGAAAATTAGGACAAGGGTGCATGTGAACCTGGCGTAGATGTGGTCAGGGAGGAAACTGTGCAATCAGCTGCTAACTTTGAAAAGACTATCAAGAAAACAGTAGGTTGTGTGGAAAACTCCAATAGAGAGTGAAGGAAACAAGAGGTTGATTGTGGGACGTGAAATGATTACACAGAAGGGTTTTCTTCAAATAAACAGCCAATAGGGCATATTTCAGATTCCCTTCCTCATAGGTTAAGGACATATAAGAATTAGTCAGCCATTTGTGGGCAGTCTAGGCTTTCATCACCTGTGCAAACATTGCCAATGAAAGCCAGATATGACAGTAAGAGGCAAGTAGCAAATGTGAACTTATGTGGTATTCTACTGAGATATGTATTTAGTTGTGATAACACAATGAGCACTGCAGACAGCACTTACATATATTTGCGTAAGTTATTTTGGTCTTTCATGCTTCATGCTTAATTCCTTTTATGTAACTACAATATACACCACTGTAGGGCAGCATTTATGTGCTTTGGGGTCAGCGTTTGTCCTCAGCCTTCACTCATGCAACCTTCCTGCCATTGTAAGCAAGAGCATCAGAGATGCTCAGTGGGCTTATCCTAATTATATCCAGGTATGAGGGTAAAATACCCACGAGACCAGACTTTTTTTTAAAAAAGTCATCATTCATATGTGTGGTGTATCTGTCGTGCTACAACAGTCAGGTTACTGAAATATATGCTAGCCTCCCATATGTAGCAATTTTAAAGCAAACTGAAAAGCCATCTATCAGGACTAGTGTTTGTATACTGACTCGATCTGAAATTGAGGGGATCCGCTTCACAATCAGTGGGATGGGTTCTACATTTGCTCATCTAAAGCCAGGTCTGAGTTTCCTATTGTATTTAGTCACAATTTTTTAAATTTGGACTTCCTTGATCCTTAAAAGATTAAAAACAACCACAATACTCTGATTATGACTTTGACAAGGCTTAATTCCCTGTTTCTTTGCCCATTCTTGTGTGGCTACCTCAATACGAGTTCAGTGGGAAACCTATTCCATAAGGTTGCATGGTGCTGCTGAAGGCAAGATGCTCTTTGAATGCTTCCATTCTATTGTCTTAAACTACGACTGTTAATAAAGACCTGAACCATTTAAAAAAAGAAAAAAATGAACAGATGTCATTCTTTTGTGGAAAAGTGCCTGATGTCAACAACCAACCTTTGCTTTTAATTTCAACAGATTCTAGACACACAAGTACACAGTGCATTTCAAAGAGATCCTGGGATATAAATAAAATCAATCAATCAATCAATCAATCAATCAATCAATCAATCAATCAATCCTTGGGCCTAAATCATTAAGCCAGCTTTAAGATTTCACTCATTTCTATGTCTGGTATACTCGGCCTCACATAGCATAGCTCTCCAAATTTCTTATTGAGAGGACAACAGAGATTCTTACCGCGTGTTTATTTGCAGCATGGACTGAAGGGGGCTGCATTCCAGGAAAGCTGACACCAAATAAAATTTGACTAGCCCCTTAAAGAGTGCCACAGGTTCCTAGTTTGTTTTCACTTTTACTTAGTTAATAGAGCTACATATGGAAATTTCTAATTGAGAGGAGCTGCCTAATAAGATTCAGTTTCATCTGGAGGCTATGTTTTTCTGTAAAGCTCTATAAAGCATTGAAGTATTCATTTATTTATTCATTCATTCAACATCTATGTCGTCCATCTGGCTATCAAGGCCACTCTGGGCGGTTCACAACATCATAATGCAGGCAGCACTTTAAAAAGCATTAAACATAATAAACAAAATCCAAAATTAAACAGTAGAATAGCAACTTAAAGTAATTTTAGATGGACTCCCGATCCCTTTCTGACTACATCACTTCTATTCTGATCCTATACTGTCTTATTTCCTTTTTTTTTAAAATGGTCCTGATACAAGAGTACACTTTTGCAGGGTACAGTGTACACAGTGTTTTAGATTCAGACAACTATTTCAAGGATTTGTTTTCCTTTTTCATATTTGCATTTCTTAATGGTTATTGGGGCAGGAAGTTCACCAAACCCAGCCTTCCACCCCAAACATGTGTCTCCACCCATGAAACCATGCCAGTAACACATACTTCCATTCCCTTCTTCACCTGCACTCCATAACCTTGGTTTCATTCCAGTGGAAGTTGGGCACCACAAATAAATATTACTCAGTTAGCCTTTCTCTTGAGAAGTATAGGAAGGCATGGCTCCATCCCAATGTGAATGATTGCTATGTCTTGATCTGGAAAAGAAGGTCCTTCAGGTTAAAGTAACTAAGAAGGCTAGCCTGGCCTTGGCTTGCTATGGCAGCCTGTGCTGAAATTTGTCAAACTGTTTCTGCTCCATGCTGACAGGCATGTCTATTCTACAGTGAAGTAGGTCCCACTGAGTTCAGTGAATCTTCCTGTTGTAAAATTATGTATGAGGGGGGAAAAAACCCAAACATAACAAAATAGCCATGAGTAGAAATAAAATTCTGGGTTTATTAGGTTCCTAGTGTGGTGTCATGGATAGAGTGATGGATTAGGACTATGGAGAATAGGGTTCAAATTCCTACTTCGCCACAGAAACTCACTGGGAGAGTGGACTTGGTGAAACCACTCCTTAAATATCTCACCTACCTAGAAAGTCCTATTAGGGTTGCTGTAACTCAGTTCCAACTTGACAGCACCCGTTACTGGGATTAAAGTAAGGTTTCCCATTCAGATGGTTTTTTATTCATGGAATGGAGGGTTGGGCCATTTTATAATCTTTGCTTCTAAGAGCAAAATGTCTGAGGCCAGCCCTGAGGACAAACTGAAGAAGATTGCAATAGGAATCTTTCCAAACAGAAATAAGGAAGTTCAAATATGTGAGTCAAAAGGACACTAGGAAGAGATTGTCCAGAAGTGATTCATCGAAGAAACCACCTTCATTTTTGTTGTTCAGTCAACATGATATTCTAAGAGGGATGCCAAACAGCAGCCAAACAGAATACATGGTTGCTGTGGCAACCATGTTCGCCATTCTGACAGGAATGTGACCACTATTAGGAAAGGCTTTAAAGTCACAGGGCCTCTTGCTTAGAGTGGTTTACATTCTGTCCACATAAGATAAGCTCACTTTCCTCATGAAGCACCTAAAGACAACAGATCTTGAAGCCCTTTGAGCAAGGAAACACTGAGCTTAGAAGAATTACCTTTTTTAAACTCCCAGACTCTTCCAGGCTTGGTATTTGGGGAGATGTGGTTCAAAAACATAACTTTCCTTTTATCGGCAAGTGCTACTTCTACAGGCACACCTCAGAATTTATAATGATGGATAAGAGAGAACTGAAGGAAATATAATGGTGCCATTTTAACAGTCACTAGATACGTGCAAACCCAGGAGACAGCAGAAGCTGAGGAAAAGGGCAGGTTTTACACACTCACAAGCGTCTTCCCTTCAGATGTCTCCTACTAACCTCTTCAGGAGAAAGTGTGTGGATTCCAAACCTAATAGGCAAAACCTACCCTGGACTTCCAGTGCATCCCACCAAATATTGGTTCAGGATGCAAATGTTTACTTTCTCCTGCAGATAGATTTCTGGTCACTTTTACAAGAAAAATTAAAATGTACATTACCTTGGGAGCACTGTTGTGACCACTAGATGTCCTAGTCTCTACCAGAAAAGGTGTCTGTGTGCACGTACTTACACACATGTACACACACACACACAGAGGGAGGGAGGGATTATGTAGCCTTCTCAGTGGCTCAACTCACTGGATGATTTGGGACAAGTACCTGAACATTACTGCCCCACATATCAGCGTTCTTCAACCCAGTGATCTCTAGATGTGCTAGCCTGAAACTCCCCCTATCCACGTGGAAAAGGCAGAAGGGGATTCTGTGAGCTTCGAAGTAAGCTCCCTTTTTGCATCCATGAAACAAGGTGTGGCCCAGCCAACACCTCTCCCGTCTGTCTCATTGAGGATGGATATTTGTATAGGTGTAGAGCACCCTCTAGCCCTGAGAAGGCACATAGCCTTGATTTCCACATGTACACACACACACACAGAGGGAGGGAGGGAGAATAAGGTCCTGTAGTCTTTAAGGATTCATTAAAAATAACATGGCTGCTCTACACTCAGAAGCACCACCCAACAGGGAGAGTGAGGTATAGTGTGAATGGAAGCAAAGGAGGACTGGGCTCCATTACCATGAAGGATGAGGTAGAAAAGGACTTGGCTTTAGCAGTGCCATCGGCTAACTTCCCCTTTTCTCCACCCAGCTGATCCCTCAAAGGTGAGCCACTCAAGTCCTAGCTATCCGATTATATAACCTTCGCAGTGGCTGAACTCACTGGATGATTTGGGACAAGTACGTGAACATGACCGCCCCCATGGTTCCATTATTGCTTGTTATCAGTGTTCTTCAACCCAGTGATCTCTAGATGTGCTAGCCTGAAACTCCCCCTATCCACGTGGAAAAGGCAGAAGGGGATTCTGTGAGCTTCGAAGTAAGCTCCCTTTTTGCATCCATGAAACAAGGTGTGGCCCAGCCAACACCTCTCCCGTCTGTCTCATTGAGGATGGATATTTGTATAGGTGTAGAGCACCCTCTAGCCCTGAGAAGGTACATAGCCCTGATTTCCGGCACAGAACAATGCAGGGCTTATCCTGGGGGAGCTGCTTCCTGAAATGAAAGACACATGAAATGAAATTCAAGGGGATTAGTGACTAAGCTTTGAATAGCATCAATGAAGATGGAGGGGTGCGGCTGAGGTCCTGGAGAGAGAGAGAATCAGCTTCAACAAAACAAACAGATAGTATATTACTTTGATTGGCTGGGAAGGGATGGGTGGGGAGGGATGGTTGCTTTTTAATTCAGCACCAGATAAGCAAGTTAAATATTTGAACTACTGATTCAGGGTACTACGGATGCCATTTTAAAAGGAAAAACGGCAGACTATAAAAGACAACGAGGGCAGCATATTAAGAGAACATGGCTGGCAAGTATTGGTCCTCGAGGAGGGCTGCCTCTCCCAGCTATCCTGTGTCAAATTTGTATCCTCTGAGCACCACTATGAAGCTCTATGACCAGTTGTGTACCTAAGGGGGAACTGGGATTGGAATGGCTACTCAGCTGAGAAGGACATGCCGTAGCAAGAAGAAGGACGAAAGAGGGCAAATGTCTGTTCAGAATTTGTGCATATGAATGTGGAAATAATATTTCTTTTTGTTATGGGTGACTCTAATAGGGGTTTACCATTTTCAATGAATTTCCATGACAAAGTGGGAATTTGAACCCAGATTTAATACAACATTCTGTCCCCTACAATGCATTGCTATAGTTTAAATAAAAAATACAAAACTGCTCTGGGAAGGACTGTGATTCATGTGTGACCAGGTGACTGTGTACCCACTCTAGTCTGTTCTCCAGGTGCTAATGATGGGTGAATAATGTCAAAGACTCTGGCCTTTAATAGAATGGAGCTGAAAGAGACCCCAGAAATAATTGAGTTTGACCCCCTAATGAAACAGGAAACTCCAACATCCAGCTTCTATTTAAAAGCCTCTAATGAAACAGAGGGACGTGGTGGAGCTGCAGGTTAAACTGCCGAAGCCTCTGTGCTGCAAGGTCAGAAGACCAGCAGTCGTAAGAACGAATCCACGCGACAGAGTGAGCTCCTGTTGCCTGTCCCAGCTCCTGCCAACCTAGCAGTTCGAAAGCATGTAAAAATGCAAGTAGATAAATAGGTACCACCTTGGTGGGAAGGTAATGGTATTCTGTGTCTAGTCGCGCTGGCCACATGACCACAGAAACTGTCTATGGACAAATACTGGCTCTACAGCTTGGAGATGGGGGTGAGCACCACGCCCTAGAGTCGGACACAACTGGATTAAAATGTCAAGGGGAACCTTTACCTTAATGAAACAGACCATTTTCAAGGAAAAGGTTGTAGGCAGGATGAGTGTATAGCCAAGGATGGGCAATTTATGGCCCTCCAGATGTTGCGGCGCCACAGTTTCCATCAGCCTGCTTCAGTATACCTAATGGGGAGGCCTCAGAAGACCTGTGGCCCAGCCAAAGTTGTTGTCCCTGGGTTAGCCTTTCCTCTGCCAGCTGCTATCCCTCCATATC